CCGGCGCGGAAGCGGCCCCAAGGGCGGACGGAGCGCAGCCCCCGCCCGGGGGGCGCCATTTCACCACCAACGGCCCACAATGCAGCGCGGCTGCTCCCCCGCCCCACCGGGAACGCGGCCGGCGCTTCCGGTGGAGCTCGAGAAGAACCGCTTCCGGGAGGCGGGCCCACGCAAAGCTGTTGCGGCCTCGCTCAAACATCGTTTTATTTTCAGGGAAGTTACCGAGTTTACGCTTGGGACAAGCTGAGTCAAGCGTTCTGGGTTCAGCCAACACGCGGAACCCCAAAAATTCCCGTCAGTGGCTGTCCCGGTCCACGCAAGTTCAGGCAGCCCCCTGAGCCATCTAAGGTGCGATGCAAAGCCAAGCCTCGTTCGGCGTCAAATGACCACCATACATGCCTCGTTCAGAAGACTCGTGCTCTCAGCCCCTAGAAGCGGCGTCTGATCGCGGCCCTGGCTGCGTTCACACGACGCTTTTACCCCGCAGGACTGAACCGTGGTTTGCTCAACTTGAGGGCCTTGGATTCCCGCAGGGCCCTGAAGCCAATCCCACGGAGTGACCCAATAGCCTGAAAGGGGGTTGACTGGTGTAACATCCACTCGATAAATAAGTTTCATTCGTGCGAGTGAACGCGACTCTAAAAAACGCCCAGGCCACAAACCGCGACTCGGGGGTCTAGGTCTGCCGCTCTAGCCGGCGACATCTCTGTGGTAACTTCCCCTCCGTTTCACTTCCATTGTTAGACGAGTGAGGGGACAAGCCGTCGGCTCTCCGTACGGATCCTCCGAAACGAGGGCGCGGCCATCTTGAATGGCGGCGTCAGGCTCATGCAGCTCACCGATAGGGCGCCGCCATTTTCCCTCTCAGCAGCGCACCGCGATATTTGAACGGCGGAGACTCCGCCCTTTCCCCTTGGAAGCTTTGGGGAGCCGAACGAGGGGCCCGGACGGTGGCAGAGTGGGACCATGATTCCTGCGTTGGCGGTCGCCTGGCGAGGGCTGTTGGGGGGCTCGGGGTAAGGTGGGAAGAAGTGGGGTGGTCGGTACGCGTTCTAGGGCTTCATTCGGCTGCTGCTGGAAGTGCCGCGTTCCCGCTTTTCAGGGTTATACTCTGCGGAGGAAGGCAGAAAGCCAACAGGTTCAGCCTTATGCACGGTCCCAGACCAATTCCCCGATGTTGATCTGCGCAAGCATTGAGCTGTCCCATGTCTTCCAGATGAGTTGGAGGACTACAGCTTCCATCATCCTGGGCCCCCATGGCAAATGATCTTAATACCACCCTTTTCTCCGGGGGAAGGCTTCACCCAGACTTTCTCAGGCACGTGTCCTCTAGTCCGACTACAATTCCCATGCTTCCTGGGAACCATGGGTTCTGTCATCCCACATCGTTGCAAGCCTGCGGGAGCGTGGCTGATGAGGATGGAGAGCAGCCTTGAATCCCCGTTTACTGCCTCTAAAGAAAGGGTTGTATAAGTATAATTATTAGAAATTACACCAGGCATCAGCAAGAAAAAAACAGCACAGGCTTTTTCCCTGAAAAGCTTTAAGCATTAGAAAAGGGAATGATGGACGAGATACCAATATATTTACCTGTTTGTTATTCCTCTTCCTGTGGTTCATTTTATTGGATTGGTTGATGATACTATTGCTGAGCTACTGTAATTAGGCTTAGACTGAATTAGACGGAATTAAATATTTTAACTTTTGTGTCTTTACTGTGGAGGCCTTAATTGTGTATAATTATCAAATAACTATTATTCACAAACTGCTATGAACCCTTGTCGGATTCAGTGGTCTATATATAAATGTATATATGTATGTATGTATGTATATATACATACACACACACACAAAGAGGTAGTCCTTGTTTAGTGACCACAATTGCGACTCGATCTTTAAGCAAAGCAGTCGCTAAGTGAAACCATGATGAGCTTATGATCTTACTTCAGCTTTCCTTTGCTTTACAGATCTGCAAAGGTCATCAGCACAAGAACTGGTTACAAAGCTACTTTATCATCACTGTCATAACTGTGAACGGTCACTAAATGAGGCAGTTGCTAAACAAGGACTACCTATAGTGCCTTCGAGTCAGTCTTGACTCCTGGCCACTGCCTGGACAAGTCCCTGTAGTTTTCTTGGCAGGGTTTTTCAGAAGTGATTTGCCATTGCTCCCTTCTCTCTAGGGCTGAGAGGGAGTAGCTGTCCCAAAGTCACCCATCTGGTTTTGTATCTAAGGCAGGACTAGAACTCATGATCTCCCACTTTCTAGCCTGATCCATGTTGGAGAGAGGCAAGTCAATCAGCTTAAATAGCCAGGCACAGAGTTTCAGACATGACAGCAAAGGCCAAGATTGATACTCTTGCTTGGTGTATGGGTACCTTTAGGTTTGGCCAAACAACAGCTGTTGATTACAGCATGCGGATTCTTTCTGGGTAGAAGAGGAATGAAATGGAATCTTTGGAAACTGATTGCAGTTTCTGAGTGCCCTTTCACTCCCAGCATCCATCACCACTGCCCAGGTAGTCTGGGTCTGCTGGAGTTCAACATCTGGAAGGTCAAGTGTTGTAAAATTGTGTCCTCTCAGCAACTGGAAGCAATGGGCAGCCCTGGCAGTTCATTTGAATTCTGCGCTCATTCCTCAACATGCTGTTCTTGAAATAGGGTCTCTTGTTTTTCCTTCCTTACAACAGCTTCAGCACTGCCTTTTCTCGGAGTATGCAAACAGGTGTCCAGAGATTTCAGAGGTTACTGGAGAACTCAGACTCGGCGACAGACAAAGAGCTGGATGCTGTACAGCCAAAGGACTTCAGGTGAGTTAATGTTGCACTTTCCAGGATGCAGGTAGCTACTTATTTTTAGAAAAAATTACAGTGTGCATAATTGCAATAGCAGTTGGGCATTTTGTGAATAGCACATTCCGCATAATTTCAGGCGTGGCAGGGAAGAGCCAGATTTTGAAATGCAAAGCTGTTTCTCAGAAGTTGTATTCTAAGGAGACCTATAGCAAGATATGAATTTGTCTCATTGTTTCCAATGTGGCTTAGTGTGTTCCAGTGGTGTATGATCAGATGAAATGCATGTGCTGGAGGGGGAGATTGAATTTCAGTACAATCCTATTGCACGAGCAACTTTGAACAAAGATAGCTATTGATAATCTAATAAAATAACCCTTAGATCTCTTGAATATTGGGGGGCTGCGTGAGCTATTGAAGTGCATTGCAACGTGGCTGATGTTCTCTCTTGCTGTTTTCAGCTATCTCCCTCCAGTCCTGGGAAAAGAAAGCTCCTTGCGGTGGGATGGGAAGAAGTTTGAAGAGATTCCAATAGTGCATATCAAAGCTACCTACAATAAGTAAGAGATGGGAGATCCTTCATGCAGAACAGGCGGTCATTCAACTGATGCTAGACGTTTCGTGGGTAGGGATTCAAGTGCACAGCTCTTTAATAACCTAGGTCTCTTGCAAGAGATTTCTTCTCGGAAAGCCATCCAAGAAGAAATCCAGCCACTGCCAAGTGCAACATGCAAGCCATATTTACAGTGAAGCATGTTTCCAATCTCTCTCCTGCCCACACTGCATAATGGGCTGAGAACATCTTGCAGGTGACACCTGCTCATTGCCCATCAAACACAGCAGTCTGGTCCCCAGTTCCTTGCTTCTGTCCTTGCCTGATCTAGCCCTCACGCAACTCCCAGGGCATATCAGTGACTCTGTGTAAATGATGATGATAATAGTCAGTTTATCCTTGTACCAGGTTGGCTAAAGACAACCCAAATATCAAGAAACTTACTGGAGTAGGGAAACTTTCAGTGACCGAGTTTACAATTAATTTGTTTTGGGAGTCGAAAGGCCACAATGGGCAGAGGAAGGACGCAGAGTAGAGGGGGCTGGATTTTTTTTTCTTGGATGGGGCTATTTTGTAAGTTAGGTTAATGGTCTTGTAGAACTTACTATAATTTTCATGTCGTTTCCTGTCTTAAAATGGCGAGCACTGATTTGACTAATTTTCAGCAATAATTGTCAGAGGAACTTCTGGGGGTGACAGAGAAGAGGCTCAGCAGCCAGAGGTTCACCTCCCCCCACCCCTTTGAGGATTAATTGCGTCCTTCCAAATTATTAAATGTCTAAGGCAGCCTGAAAATCCCTGAATGCTCAGCAAACATACTGGCTGTAAACGCTGAGAGCTGCAGTCTGAGCACATCTGGAGGGGCAGCTGCTTGGGGAAAATTATCCTGGTTTTTTAATGCATATTGGGATAAGCAGTGTGTCTCAAACTGGCAGTGATTTTTTTCCTTCGCATTTTGCCCTTGTAGCAAATGAAATCTTTGGTGTCCTAGTTCACCCATTTGCTATCAGTGCATACCTTTTGTCCCCCATGGGAGAACACAAGAGCTGGGTTGAAATGTTAGGGGTTGGTTTTCAGACAGTTTTCAGGAGAGTCCAAAAATAGCACAGCATACAGATTTCTAACAGAATTTTGCTCCTATCCTCCCATGATACCTCTAGCACTCACATCCAGGTTTTCACAGCTGAGAAGGTCCCTCTGGTCCTGCTAACCTGTGGCTTCATGGGATTCAAGAATGCAAAGAAGTCCACAGCTATTGCAGCACAAACAACTGGAATGGCAGTAGCAGCTGTAAGTCGGCATCCTGTGGGTCCAGATCTTGGAGCTATTCTTTCTTCAGATTGAAATCAGTACAGTTTTCTTAAATCAGCAGCTCTTGTTTAACTTCCAAGGAATCCCTTATTTTGGGCACCCCTTTGAATCCCTTTTTGTGGGATTCCAGAATCCATTTGGCCATGCATAGATAAGACCATGACCAGGGAACAATCACAAATGAATGAATTATCATAAATGAATCAGGGACCAGGATCAGGGAACTGTTTGGTTTTATACGTTAACTCCAGAATCTGAAGGTTTTGTATAGTTTTTGGTTTTCTATATTAAAAGGGCAGAGCCTTCAGTCTCCTTAATCCTAGATTTGTTGTATCTTTTAACCTTTTGGCACCAAGTGGTGAGAAATCCGTTTGCAAGGAAACCAGTGAGGTATTGTCACTGAACGGTTGGAAGGGCTTCTACATTTTCTTTCTTTGTTAAAAGAAATTGTAAACCACACTTCATCTTGATGGATACCAGAGGTAAGGGTAGAGTGTTTATACAGGTAGTCCTTGTTTAGTGACCATAGTTGGGGCCACCAAATCTGTCACTAAGTGGGAAATCACATGACTTTCCTGCTCGACTAGGCAAACAGCCTGGTGGATTCCCCATTGTGTGCCTGCTTACTCTCTTGCAATCCCTTCCTCTCCAGTCTTTCTGCTTTGCAAGGGGGGGGGGGAAGAGAAACAACCGGTCAGGCACAGGACAACACGTACTAACTGTAATGGCAATCATGTGGCTGAGGGACACTGCCAAGGTTGTAAATGCGTGCTTTGGTCGTAAAGTTATTTGTTTCAGCACTGTTATAGTTTTAAACGATCGCTGAATGAGGCATTTGGTAAGCGAGGACTACCTATAATGTCATATCAATGCAAAATAGGACAGTATTTATAAAATACAATCCTGTATTTTATAAGGTATCAGGGAAAAGGAGATGTAAATCAAGGACTCCTAGGGCCCCTATTTATAAATAGCCACTAGATGGCAATCTTAGCTCAACAGACTTATAGTATCCTCTGTCAGGCTCCTTTAGAAGTTCCCATTAATCACTTTGGATGTAGGAAGCATCTAACAGAGCTACAGGCATAGCAGAAATGGAGAGTTTCCAGCTGAGCACTTTAATTTTCCTGTTTTAAATGTAGCAAGGTTCTGTGTGCTGCAACAATTCTTGTCTACGGTGGGTTGAATGTAAATTACCTTTGTGAGTACTGTTAACTTGCATGTGATTTCAGGTCTGGGAAATGATCGCAAATAACAGCCTTCGCCAAGCTTCTAGACGTGCAGGACTTCAACTCCCAGCATTCCAGCCAAGATGGCCAGTGGGTGCTTTGACTGGAAGTCTGGAAGTGAAATGTCCTGGAAGGTGCTGGTTGAGCAAGGCTGGTGTGTAAGAGAGATTTTGCTAAGCCACAAACCAGAAAAGGATGCCAGCCTTGTGTTCCATATTTATATAGGACAAAGATCCTAGATTTCTGCAAAGCACCTTCTATCACCCTTACCTTTCCCCCATGCTCCTGTTCCACAAGTTTTTCTACTGGGAAAAATGAGCAGCTCCAGGCTGCTGTTTAGATTGGCATGTTGGGGCTTGAACCTAGGAAGATGATGATGATGACGATGATAATTTATTGAACTTGGATGCTGCCTGACTTTCAACGACTCGGGGTGGTTCACAACAACGAAAGAAATTACAATCAGATCAATAATGTCTTTTCTTCAAGAGAAAATAGCCCTGTTTGTCCCACTGAGCAGAAGCCTCTATTCAGATGAAAGGGCAATAGGATCTGGGTTGAATGTTGGAGTAGTGGTCATTATGCCCTATGGTTCATTGCATAATTTTTTTCTCTCTCTCTGTCTCCCTGTCCAGAAAGCATCTAAAAAGGGTGTGCACCACGTACGAGTTGTTGTGAAAGGCCTGGGACCTGGGCGATTGGTAAGCACTTCTAGTTTCTTTGTATTCATTCTTTTGGAAATAGGGGACCTTTAGTGACTGACTCCTGCATTTATCAAGGACCACTGTGATGGAGTGATATCCCTTAAGTGAGAACAGCCATGCTGTGCAAGTAAGCGGAGAGAAACAGCAATTATTTGGTCTAGCAGTTAAGGCTCCAGGCTAGAAAGCAGGAGACTGAGAGTTCTAGTCCTGCCTTGGGCAGGAAAGCCAGCTGGGTGACTTTAGGCCAGTCACTCTCTCTCAACCCAACTCACCTCACAGGGTTGTTGTGGGGAAAATAGGAGGAAGGAGTATTAGGTATGTTCGCCGCCTTGAGTTATTTATAAAAATAATAAAGGCAGGATAAAAAAAATCTAAAAAAAATTGAAAACCCTGGAAAGTTGTTCTCAATTTCAAGCAGCCTTCCCCACCTGCTATCTTCCAGCTGTGTTTGACCCAAAGCCCAATACTTTCTCAGCAACCTGCCTTTCCTCATGCTGGCAGGGGCAATGGAAACCAAAATCAAACACATCTGGAGTTCAACAGGTTGGAGACGGCTGCTGGGGATGATCCAGCTTGGCGGCGAAGGTGAAAAGCCAATTCGAGGGACTGCTAATGGAGCACCTGTCTGCAACTTCTTAAAGCAGCCACATCTTTTCCTTAGGATTGCATGGCTTCTCTCTGCAGTTGCAGCATAATCCTGGGAAAAGCTACCTTTAATTCAAGACAAATTTGGCTTAAGGAGCTACAGATGGGTATAGCCTGGATAGCCCCCACCAAGCAGCTTTTTGAATCCGAAGCACCAGTGGATAACGCTAAGATAGATTAACCAATCATTGCCTAAATATAAGGCAGCCTCCTTTGATTTTTAAATTGTTCTGTAGGGAAAAATAGAGAGATGTAGCTCTGTTGCATGCAAAAGGTAAGATGCTGAATCCTGGGCGTCATCAAGCTAGGCAGATGCTGAAACTCTGTGGAGCCTCTAATTCTTGGCAAAGACAACAGCAAGTTCTAGAAAACTCCCTCTCTCATTCAAAAAGCTTGAGCTGGCTTCCCACATTTTGCAAAACTAGCATGGGGTTTCATTTGGGGTCAGCATACAGATGGTACAAACCAGGCTAATTGTAACTAGCAAAGCAAGGTTTAGGGCTTTGCAGGTTATCCAAACCTAAGTGATGGTGGTTTATTCTAGAAACTACTTCAGTGAACCATGGCTTAGCATTCCATGAGCGCAGTGTTGATACCACTGTTTCCCTTTCAGGCAGCCATCCAAGGATTAACCCTAGGTGGGTTGGAGGTGATCTCCATCACGGACAACACCCCGGTTCCTCACAATGGCTGCCGCCCTCGGAAAGCACGAAGGCTGTGAGGGGAATGGAGCAGGTGAGAGAAAGAGAAGAGACCGTGCCTGGATCTCAAATAGCTTACATGGCAAGCTGTGCATCTTTCTGCAACTTTCAGAACAGAGACAGGCTTGGGTTTTGCCCACAGGAAGGCAAACCAGAGACTATGTTTATAAAGTATGTATATTAAACTGTTGCCTCCATCTCAAAAGAGCCCTTTGAATTGCATCTTTCTTCAGTGCTGCTTTGCGCTTCTAATGTGATGTACAGAATCTTTTTTTAATGTTATCTTTAATCAGATCCAGGCTGCTTCAACCACTCCTTCCTTGCAAATAGAACAGATCCAGGCTGACTTACGATGAACAGGTCTTTTTCCATTTGCAACGGGCCAAACAACTTTCCCACCGTCTGCAGAATTCCCCACTGGGCCATTTGGGATCCACCTCAGAGGCTCTTTCGAGGGGCCCACAGATCCACTTGCCAGGGAGAATATTTATGGCTCACGAGCAAGTACAGAGACCTCATCTCCGCTACAGTTTCCAGTCAGGTAGGAAATAGCAGGGATTCCAGTCAGAGCAGTAAGACATTAGGAAGTATGAGAAACAGCTGCCAGCAAGCCAACATTAGTGAATATCTTGCATTCTGGACCTTCTAACCAATTGATTCCAGCAGTTTCTTACAGTCACAAGAAGGCTACTTTCATGGTGTGTCCCAGAGACAGTTTTTACCATCAGTGGCAAAACCATACGTGGCTGATGACTCAACATACACCAGGAACTATTCTGGGGAAGCAGCTATGGGTGACTTGAAAGAAAGCAGGATTCTTTTGTTTTGCTAGGTTCACACAACATAAACCTGGGATCCCCAGTGCCGCAATTCAGAGTTGGCAAGAGTCAGCATCCTGATCGCCAAGAATATCTCTTGCCCCCAAAGCTGCCTTTTCAGAAAACACAACGATAGCTAGGTTCACACCACACGTTCGGTCATCAACTGGCTTACATACCACAAGAAGGCTTGTCCTGTTTTGGCTCCATGCAGAGAGCGTGAGCCCAAGCAACCGTAGCTTATTCAATAAGCCACAATTTAAACAAACCACAGCCAAGTGAGGCGCACGGGCTGCGTTTCTCTTGGGACCTGATCCAAAATAGGGAGTCTGCTGCTTCAGCAGGTGCTAGCTGTCCGCTTTTCTTCTGCACACCCATCACGGGGCATTAGAGCGTCCCAAGCTGCTGCTGCAGGTTAGCAGCCACCCGGGAGAGCAAGCCAATCATTAGCTGGCCCTGCTTCCCCCAGCCTTAAGTGGCCTGGATCCCAAACCTCCTCTCTTCCCTCAAACTCCCAGCCACCAGGGTCCACAATGATGCGGCCAGCCGTCCTGGAGGAAGCCTTTGGAGCAGGGAGGAGACTAGACGCTGGAAGTTAGCAAGCCTGCTTTGTTTTTAGTCATCAGCACTAATGGGGCACACAGTGCTCCCTTTGATCCAGCTGTCAGAACTAAAAGAGAACCTCAGGTCTGCCTCCCTCCCTCCGGATTCTATTATTCCCCCTCCCTTTGGGGAGGGAGGGGAGGGGCTCCTCTGGTTTCTAATGTTGTAATCAACTCTGCTCTTCTTTAAAAGAAAAGGGCACCATGGCAACCAGACAGCTTTCTTCTTTAACTCCTTCCTGGCTTTGTTATGTAATAAAGCAGGATTCTTTTTCTTTCTCCACCCCCTCCCTCCGCCGCCTCTCCGCCCCGGAAATCTTCACCCTTTTGCTTCCAGTACTTTCGAATTTTGAAGCAATTTGCCAAGCAAGATTGGGATAAATATTTTTCTCCCCAAGCGAAGGGAGCAAAACCAGGCCCAGATGGCATAAGGGAAGGCAGTCTATAAAGGCTCATTATGAAACCTACAGTGGGAGATGTCCAGCTCGAGGCAAGAATGCACACTTGCACGTACACACACAATTACGATGATTATTCCTCTAACAATTTGAAATGCACAGTGTGTGGGAAGGCTGGTTAGAGTTCCATTTACCTCTTACAATAAGGAAACGGAATAATTTTGCAGTGGAGTTAAATTGTCGCAGGTATCGTACACTTCGGTTTTTAATTGGTAGGGTGTTTTTTTAAGAAAATGTGCGAGATTAATCACCGTGATTGGATGAAGACTTTTTGTTTTCTTCCTGCTGCAAAATCTTTGCTGCATTTCGCTGAGCACCACTACCAAAAGGGATGGTGACTTGTCCCTTTTATTCTGTCTGTGGAACAACTGCCATTTGTCTGGTTGCCTAGGGTGAACAAGAATCTCTTTATGGAAGGAGGCATGCGGAACATAGAAGATAAACAATACTTTGCCTTCCAGGTTGGCGTAGCTCACTCAAAGTAATAAAATGTGCACCTAATGTTTAAGAGCTGGTGCCTTATAGTAGGTACATTAATTTCACCTTTGGGGAATAGTGTGTCAATAATGTCCCCGTAGGTTAAAGCAGCCATTCTGATCTCCTGATGTCATTGGAAAGACCCATGGAATTAGCCCTAGCTATGTGGTTAAGGAATTCACACCGCCCAGCCTATCCTGTGGTTTTGCTAGGCATTCGTATTTGGAATAATGGGAGATTTATTTAGACATTTGCGCAAGTAATTCTCTTGCCCTTTAACACACCTATGGTGAGAGCTGAATCATAGACCATTAAACAACTCAGCCTCATAGGTTACAAGAGCATTGCTGGATTAGGTCATAAGTTCCACTAGTGCAGTGTTGTCCAAACTTGGCCACTTTAAGATGAGTGGACTTCAACTCCCAGAATTCCCCAGCCAGCCATGCTGG